TTTTAAGTTCGTTAATTCCAATAGAAAGATTTCCATAAATCCCTCGCATGTGTTTTTTAATGGCTCCGAGCCCTCGGATGATTTTGAAACCTCAAATCTCTTTGCGGAATACCCCCGTCTGAACTTTTCAACTGCCAATTTTGATTTATCAGCAGACTATCCACATCCGATTTCTAATTTGATTTCAATTCCTAACCTTGTTACATCTGAAAATGACGTTTTTAAAGGATTGAGCTTTCTAAAATATAACTGTTCGCCTGGACCTGACGGAATCTCCTCATTTGTACTTATATCTTGTGCTGGCGAGCTATGTGGTGTTATCTCAAAGATTTTTAACAAGTTCTTGAATTTAGGGGTTTCCCTTTGTGTTGGAAGACTTGTTTCATTATTCCTATTCACAAACGTGGTAGTAGGCAACTTGTAGAGAATTACAGAGGCATTGCCAAGTTGAGTTTCTGGCCTAAACTGTTCGAGCGAATTGTGAAATTGTGAAATATACAATTTCCATGAAATCGTATATTTCTCCTCTCCAACATGGTTTTCGAAAGGGAAGATCTACGGTCACCAATCTGTTAGAGTTTACTTCTCATGTTTGCAAGGTTTTTTCTAGTGACTCTCGCACTGATGTCATATACACTGATTTTAGCAAACCATTTGATTTTGTTAACCATAGACTACTTATCTTTAAACTCCAAGCCTCTGGCTTACCTTTCTTCTTAATGGAATGGTTAAGCTCTTATCTGCTCGGTAGATCATTCAGGGTTTTGTTTAAACTCATTACCTCGGATGAATTGCCCGTGACGTCTGGTGCATCTTAGGCCCCATTTATTTTTGGTATATATATTAACGATCTCCCATCGGTGATTAATTCCAGTCAGATCTTAATGTACGCTGATGATGCGAAACTGTTTTCTTCCTTCTCTGTAGAATCGCAATCACATCACCTTTAAAGTGACTTGAATAATTTGGTTGCATGGTGCTCTTTGAATCTTCTGGAACTGTGTCTAAATAAATGTAAGAAGATTACTTTCTCAACAAGAAAGTCATTCATTACTCAGTATTTCATTGATTCGCATAAGTTAAAAGGGCGTCGATACGTTCACAGATTTAGGCGTTCTATTTGACCATAGATTGCGTTTTAACTTGCACATTGAGCTCTCGTTAAGCAAAACATTTGGTTTTTTAAAGAGGTGGTCCGAAGAGCTTGATGATCCTTACATTACTAAAAGGCTGTACATGTGTTTGGTTAGACCTATACTTGAGTATGCCTCAGTTGTGTGGTCTCCTTCATAAACGTGCTACGTAGATTCAATTGAATCTGTTCAAAAGCAATTCTTGCTGTTTGCCCTTAGAAATTTGGGTTGGGATCCGATTGCCTCTCTTCCTCCGTATGAAAATAGGTTGCTTCTGCTGTCCCTACCGTCTCTTGAGAAACGTAGATTTGTTCTTGGCGTTTCCTTTCTAATTAAAGTAATAAATGGTGCTATTGACTCGCCTTCATTACTTGGTGAAATAAGCTTTAATGTCCCTAACCGCTTCTCTAGGCATTTTATCTTGGTTAAGCTTAATCAGTCTAAATTTAATTATGAGCTGTTCAATCCGCTCAGAGTCGTTTGCAAGAACCTAAATTACGTCTACCACTTATTCTCGTTATCGGACTCTTTAAAGTCCATTAAAGCAACATTGCTTAATACGCGCGATTTACCTATGTCATATTTAAACTAGCTTTTATCCTTAAAAAGTCGTTACGTTTCGAAAGTGAATTATTGTCAATTTATTATCGGTTGCCAGGCTTATGCATGTTTGCGATGGCTTAGGGGTTCATTTGCAATTTGCAGCTAGGCCTCACCACTGACCAGAGTGGGGTTTATTGTTCCATACACAATAAACCGTTCTGGACTCTGGTTTTGTTTAGGCCCCTACTCTGTGGGGATTGTCTAACTCGCCAGGGGGCGTAGTACGCTTAAAGTGGCTTGGGCCACCGCGGGGTTAAGCCTTTCAGGCAGGAACCCACGATAAACCCTTGCTACAATTCTGGGGATCTTGACGTATGGGTCCGTGTAATTCTGGACTTCGGCGTATCGAAGGTGGCAACCAAGGCAGCTCTATAACGCACCATTTTAAAACAGTCACGACAAGCTAGAATTGGACTTTGTGTGAACTTGGCCTTTAATATTTCCAATTAGATTTGCTGATAGTCTGCCGGTGTATTCCTTTCTTTAGCAACTCAGGCAGACGAACTTGGGTACAAACCGCCGGCACCACGAGGCATTACTGTAGTAATCTTTTTTCGGGCCCGAAGATGATATTCTATAATTCGTTCATATAAGTAAGTACACCTAATGAAGCATTCGAGCTGTACCAGCTTTTAATGAGTGGCCCTCAGCAACAAAAAAGTGTTCAGGAACATGTCTCAAAAAGATAATGATTGCATTACATAAACGAAAATAGACTTTATTTGGGATTAAAAAGTATAATTAACTTAAGGTGCTGACCATAGTACAGGCATAATTAGACAAACATTCATCTATAAACTATAATTAAATGAACATAAGTTAACAAGTTGAAAAAAATGAAATATACCAATTCTAAGTAAAATTTAAGTAGACTAAATTGAAATATATATCAAACATAAGTAGAATATATTGAAATATATATTGAATCTGAATAGAATAAAAATTGAAATATGTTTTAAATCTAAACGCCGGATAAAGTGACATTTATTTACGTTGATTCTTAATGGTCGTTCAAGTGGTGGTCTAGAATTCTGCCTGTAATGATGATATTAAACGGATAGATAGAGACATTCGGCTCCAAGTGATGGCCAACGACGCTACCTAAAACCAACCAGGACGTTGCCAGCACGAAGTGCAAGCTAAATGTGTTACTCTTAATTGAAATAGCTCTCGTCTCGGCATCGTAAACGTTGTGTATGCTTTACTGGACTATTGCGTCTGGTACTGATTTATTGTAAAAATTGTGTAAGTCTCGGTCTAATGCACGTCACCTGAAATTTGTGCCCAGCGACGTCTAAGGCTAAGAACTCGTCTCTTCGTAGCGAATAGACCAAGCTAGCTCTTAGTTTAGTGGCCACTATGCTTAGACGTTAAAAAAAGTTATTAGGCAAAATTATCTGCACTCTGTTGCCTCTTATCACAGTTAAGAGAAAATATTTCAGTTTTCATGGCCTAATCAGCGCTTCTTTAGTTGCATTTGAAAGTTTTGTTGGTTATTGTTATTTTTCATGTGATCGTAACTTGAGTTGGTCCCCTTGAGAAGTTCTGTAGGTTTTCTGGATGTAAGCTTCGTAAGGTGTAGTTTAGAGTTTGAAAGTTTTGTTGCTTATTGTTATTTTTCATGTGATCGTAACTAGAGTTGTGCCCTTTGAGAAGTTCTGTAGGTTTTCTGCATGTAAGTTTCGTAAGATGTAGTTTAGAGATTCTTCCTTGCGCTTTTTTATTTTTTAACTTTTGTTTATAGCGTTTTTTTCCTAACTTTTTTCCTTTTTTTCATTGTTAACGATTCTATCGTGATATTTTATATTTTAAATTTTTATCGATTTTTTTCTTTTGATGTGTTTTTTTTTTTACATTATTTATTTTTCAATAACACTTGCTTGTAGGCATGTTTCATTATAAATAAATAAATTGAAATAAACCACTTTAAAAGTGTAAGCCTTTTGAAGTTATATATATGAATGAACGCAAGCGTGTAAAGTGAAGGAAATTGTTTGTTGCCTTAAAGTTGAGAGCTGTGTTAATTAGGTTATAAGGGCCAGAAATGGAAATTCGCCGTATGACAAAGTTGCCCAGATAAACGCTGTACTACCGAGTTTCCACATCTTCTTCCTTAAAACTTACATTTTATTTAAAAGGCAATACAAATCAAAAGGCAATAATAACCAAAATCAAAGCTCGGAAAAGTTTTTTGATAGGTTTAAAATATTTCATACCTTTGCTACATTAAACTGTTTCAACGTCTTTCTACATTTTTTGGTTTAATATTGAGCATATAGTTTACATAATTTTATTCTTAGAACATACTAGATTTTTATCTGTTAGAGTAGTAAAAAATCGATAAGAGGTAGAAGATATTTATCATCTTTTTTAAGAAAACTTTATTGACACTGAAAACAATCTCTTGAAATCTATTTATAATTTTTTGGAAGAAACATATTTTTGATTGCCTCACCGTCTCTATCGACTAAAAGTGTATGTCTATATGTGTATGTTAAAAAACGTACTAGACAGTTTGACTGCATGTCATCACTCAGTGGAGCCGTAAAGTCGGGTTTTACTGAATAACTTTGTTTGATGGCTGCCATCAATATAATAAAAGCACTTAGCAAACCTGTGGTTTAGAACAGGGAGTGCGAATAAGAGAAATAGCATAATGGAGAATAGGAGCAGGATATAAAAAAAAACTTTTCTGAATACGTACACATTGTTATGCAATGCAGCTACTTGGGTTTATATGTAAGTGTATCCATGAGTCAATGCGGTTTTGTTGCTCAAGAATAAAGAGGATATATAAAGTATTGCTGCAGACCGTCAAAATCCTAATTCATTATAAGCAGTTGTTTTTCTGCATGTGTTCGTTTTATGACTTTCTTTCAGATATTTGTTATGGTTATGTAAAATTTTGATTATTTACATACCAAGCTTAAAGCGCAAGAGCAAAATAATAACAACAACAATCTTGATTTTGAAAGATTAGCTGTCATTGTTGGTCTGAAACCACAATAATCATCGTTTGGCTGGTCACGAATGAATAAATGAATGATTATCCATAATTAAAAAGTCTAGTGTATTGCTGGGGTTTATCCTAAATGCGTTAATTAGAACAGTTTCCAAATTATTTCATTACCGACTGTTATGAGCAATTGTGCCCACGGCATCTTTGCTAATTGTTCAATATTTATGGAAAGTGTTTTTAATGGGTACTATGTGCGATTAATCTGTATTCAATTCAATTCAGCTATATTTTTTTCACTCTTATATAAATAATAATATCAGCAGACAATGTAGAGAGACAACCCCTACTACAGCTCTCAGATGGTGTTGGTCATATTAAATTTGAGGAATCAATCATGTCGTTCGCGGCTTCAAAGTCTTGTACAGAAAGGTGACGGACGAGCGGGAAAAGTTCAAGGCTGTCTTTGAAGTTCTATTTGCCGTGTTGGGGGTTTTCATCGCCTTTACCGTTTACTCTGTGCTATATAAATATGTTATATCTATTAAAATCTTGACTACTTTTTCGTTTCGCCATATTATAATACCTAAGGCGTGGAGCTTGGTTTAACGGAGTTACCAGTCGAGAAATTGAGTGGCAGCAATCTTGAAAGCAATTTCTATTTGGCCATAAGCGCCACGTTCCTGCAATTAATGCATTTAATTTTATTGACATTCAACTACCAAAATACACATTAGCACCTACTTCTCAAAAAGATACATCGTCGTGTGCGGTTAGTTCGTAAATGTCGAACGCTTATAAAAACTAACCATTTTAGGCATATTGATTGTTTTTCCTTTTTCTTATATATGCGCTTGCAAGTGTGCTTGTAACGAAGTGTGAGTGTAGTATCTCGCTTAGCTGTGTTAATACACTTCTACAGTGGTAGTCAAATTTGAAATTTCTGACTATTTTGCTATATATCTTAAGGTCGGTTTTACAGAGGTCTACAGTTACTTTTTTTTCATATGTTAGATTAGATTCCGTTCGATTCCAATGGAAAAAAGTTTTCCTTTTTTATTAAACCAAGAAAATTTATACGAATTAACGAAATGACACAAACTGTAAATAAACTTATTGTTAAGCATATAAAATAGAATATATAAAATACAAAAAATGTTAAAACAATTTTTTTTACGTTCATGTCATGCTTTGTGAATTTTTCTGTATTCTATTGTATTTCTATATTTCTATGTGTGATGTTAATCATTTCAAAATACTAAGATTTTTGCTTCTTAATGCTTGCTACGCGGAAATATATAATTGACATTATAGACTCATTAATATACCCTCATAATATCTATGGAAATTAGGATAAAAAATAACTTTTTGAATTTTACATCTTGATCTAAATGTGCTCTCTTTTCAAATGCTTCTATATCGTTTTCGATTTCACATGAATTTTACTACCAATGCTTCATCAAAACTTTATTGAAATATTGCGGTTTGCTATATGTTTCTCGAAATGATATAGTTGCAAGCGGCCAAATTTCAATCTAGTTTTTTATCAGGAAGTCAGATGTGATTAAAAATATAAAAATATTTTATAAAATTGTAAATCAACGCACATGAAAGAAATAGTTTTTTCACATTCATGAGTTCAGCTAACTTTGAATAAAGTGTAACGTACGACGACTGCCATTTGACATCGTACCTTTTGTGTAATAACAAAGTTCTATATCCTAAAGAGGTCAAAAAGGTCGAAGGCTTTAAGCGGATGGACGCATATGTTATTGATAAGCTAGTTAGCATGGTAGTTAGAAGGGGGAAGGACGCGGCGGAAAGGTTTCAATTTTTAGGGGTTAGTTTACATATAAAAATATAAGTTTTTATTCATATTCATATATGAAATATATACCTATATTTATAAATATTTATGTGGGTGAGTGTATTTATTGTCGAAAGAAACAAAGAGGAGATAAGTTGATACAAAGGAGAGAGAAGTGAGTGTGCGAGAGGCCAAGAGAGTGATTAAAGGACTGGAAATCATTTACAAGCAAGTATTAGAAATTTTCAATTTGATTAGGCTCATTTATTTAGTATGTACATATTTGTCTTGTACTTATTTGATTTAGATTGTACTTCGAAGTACTATAGTTTAAATTGGACTTGAGTTTATTCGATATAGTTAACCTAAACTTGAAAAGAGTCCGGGCACTATCTGGAGTGAATGTGGCACCGTAAGGCTGCCTATATGTTGCTGACGGGAAATTTTCTGCTGATGATGAAGACGAGGATAATGACGATGGTGCTACTGTACTTGTTACTGCAGTTGTTATTAATAATGGTATTGTTGTTGTTAATAATGGTCATAGTCTTTACAGATTTTCCTATTGTCCTAACTGCAGGTATTATTGTTTTTGTCGTTTTTTGTGGTTATTATTGATATGCGCGGAAATTTTAAAAATTGTGTGTGAACAATAAATTAGGAAGAAAATGTAAGTGTTCACGAGATTTTCGTGGAAATTTTTCTATATTTTTACGTCATTTTAAAAATTTTTTTATTTTTGTGACTGTTAACGTATTACTGGATTGTATTTCAAATTCCAACTAGAATTCTCTCTTACACTCTTTACACTTCACCATTTGTCTTTGTACCTATTTTTGCTTATGGGTTCGTATTATTGACGTTTACAATTTTATTCTCTTCTCCTTCTAGTTTACAAATCAATGCACGCTGTTCGGACAAACATATAACAGTTTCCCGATGAAAAGAGATATGAACAATCGACCATTTTGGTGGTTGCGTAAATTTTACTATGATATTAATGAAAATCTAATAGGTATAGAAGCCTTTCCATATTTTCGCCTTTGGGTATTACCCTTATGAAATTCAAGTTGTGACGAATTTTCTTTTTGCTAAGGCAGTTAATAGTGGCGTTGGATATTTGGTGTTACTTTTCTAGTCATATATTTGTGGAAAATGCGCTCAAACGTTATCATGCATATATAAATCTATATGTATATGAGGTGGCGCACATTTTTCAGAGTAAGTACGGCTAATAATTTACTGATTATAGCTCATGAAAAAGAACATAATCCTTTAACAATAAATAAAGTTTTTTTTTTTTGTCAATGTTTCGTTGTAACCACAAAATTTCATTTGCTTTCAGTTTTTATTAAAAAAAATATTTCATTATTTCGTCACTTTTATAAACCGTTTCCAGGCATTTTATATACTGCAATTATTGGGGCCTTTCTGAGCGTTCTTATTTCACAAAAAGAAAACTTAAAATATTAATTCCAAGTATACACAGGTGGCTGCTAGTTTTGATTTATATAATCAGTTTAATAAGTATAATTTTTTTGAATTTAACAATCCGCTAAAGGGTTGCATTAGTAACAGATGTTACAAAACAAAATCAAATGTTCCAGAAGTCGATTTCTTCGAAAAAAACACAGCGATAATTCCATTACAATATGCTATCACTATCATAAAACTGGAAGTTGCAATTTATTTCGTAGTATCGAAATCATCAGTACGAAAGCAGTTCAAGAACAGACCTTAGTAAGATTGGTGCTAATGACTCTTACAATACAATTACTAAAATTGTAAAATTTTTTTTAGAAAGAGTATTTGTTTCATTTTTTCCAAGCACGAAACTAGTAAAGTACTTTGCTAAAAACTTTCAAATCATGGTCAGACGTTTGTCTGATTTCTTGAAGTAGGGAATATAGGGAATTAGGGAAGTAGGGAAGATAGGGAATTTGCTAGACAGCTATGGAAACCATCAGAATGGTTATTATTATTTCACGTATTCATCTATAAAAACAAATACGGTATTTTGTGGTAAACGTGAAATTTATTCAGAATATGCTTATTACAAAGTTTAAAAATCGATATATTTACCATCACTATCTATGATATTTTTCCTCTCATCGGGTAATTTACGAATGCCGTCGCAGTAGAAACTTCGAGACGAAATCCATCTAACCATTTTCGCACGTCTTCAACTTTTGTGAATTGTTGATATGCCAATCATGACAGTATCAATTTGACCACGAGGTAAATAGAAGAACCCAAATCCGGCGAATAATACCCAAGCGGGAGCAGTTCCCAGCTCGACTTAAAGATCAGTTCTCCGATTACGTTTGTTGCATGCCACGGTTTCCCCAGGCTTTAGAAGTTCGTTGTAGATTATCTCTTTCTGATCCAATAAAATTTTCTATTTCATTTCCTAAGCGGCCGTAATTATTCTCGTTGCTTCAGCTGTATTTTGTTTCTTTTTTTTTTAGCTTAAAACCGAATAATGTGCTGATTATTGATATCTATCTCTTTACGTTTGGATATCCAGTGAACAACAACTTAGAACCAACCTAAATTTGTACTGTACACATATAAATGAATACACCATAAAGTTATTTATAAACCAAATATATATATAGAATACATGGTTTTAGCTGAATTTAATAACTTTTAGGATTAAAGACTTAGGAATAAGTCAGCATTTGCAATAACGAAAGCAGCAGATCAGAAACAATTTATTGTAATAAACCGTTTATAATAACCTTTTCCTTAAGGATAGAGCCGTAATACTCATAAGTCGTCTCGAAAATTGTATCTTTAGGCAATGGTAACTCTAAGTTACTGCTGGTACGTAGCGGAGGTTCCGATGCCTTTTCAGCTCAAATATGAGTGGTTTCTTCAAAACGTTTAACTTATTTTTATGCACGATATTTGCATTTGCCGGCGAAGCACGGGTTTTATTCACAGGTGGTCTGGGTAATTTCGTCAGGCTTCAAACCAGTATTAGTTAGCATTGGTCATATCTACTTTTCCATTGACTATATCCTTCGTTAAATATGTAAAAATGATCTTGAGATGAACTGGTCCAAATCAATCGCCATAACAATCCGTCGACATAATATACATTTATAAGCATCTCTAAAGGTAGTTGGCGTCATTGTTAGCAAATCAAAATGTTATTGACCAAAAGTCATACTTTAACTCACATGTAAATTCCTTTAGTTCCCGCGTTAGTTTATACTATTTAGAACCTTGTTCTGTTTAAATATTTATATCTTCAAATGTCTAACAATCAAAGAAACAGTTTTAATTAACTGTTCTATGATTAATTTTATAAAAACTTTAGAAGCAGCGCTGAGTTTAGCAATATGTCTATCGTTTTCAATCCGTTGTCGACTAAATAGTGAAGAATAGGAAAATTTTTCTCCCACAAAACTTGGAAATATTGAGTATTTTCGTTAATGGTTCATAGAATATGTTTGCACAATTTTTTAATATACAAAAGCGTTTTCTGTTAGAACCAGTTTACATAGAAAATTTCAAAGAATCCAATAGTTTGAATATGTTCAACTTGAGTACAATAATTGATGATGAAAGATATTTATGAATATAATATACCGGGTAGAGCGTTATTTTCAGAATATCTTTGCTTTTTTTTCGGGAAATGTCCAAACTAGTACGCCATTTGTAGCAATATCCTACATAGCTATTAAGGTCATTAATATTGAAGCCTGAATGGGCCAAAATTACATTTATACGTCATTATTGGCATAATAAATATTAAATTGTAGAAATTTTGAAGCATCAGGAGTTACGAATGATGATGGTTACATGTTTTAAAGGATAACATCATAATGAAAAGCAGAAGTGGTGACACGTAAGTTCTAGAATGCATATATATGGAAGTTTCTGTCGGCCGGCTTTTTCACTGCTCTTTACAAAAAGCGTAGTGTATGGTAACGGAATTCCGTTAATCAAGACTACTTTCGATAATTTTCCACTCACATAGTAGGGTGCTTTAAAGAGAAAATTATGAAGG